GCAGAGCCGTGTGCCCCTTCCTGTGGAGCCGTGTGCCCGCCTCGCCGGGGCGGCCCTCCGACACAGGCCCGAGGCCTCTGATGGCAGCAGCGCTTTTCTGCGTTTGAAGTGCCAGGAGCCATGGGCAAGCTCAGGGAAAGTGGAGTGATTTATTAGACTCATAAAAATTCATGCTTGCGATTCCAGTCATCCCGTCTGAAGCTTGTTAGAGCGCGTCCCTGGCAGCTCCCGCCGTGTTCGCGCGGGGGTGGGGCGTGCACGTCTCCTGCCTGGGCTGCCTTCGAGGCTCCTTTGAGGAGTGGACGGCTGCAAGCACCGGAGTGAATGTCCCGGGTGGGCAGGGCTTTGCTGTCAGCCTGGGCTCGGCCCTCGCAGGAGGGAGCGGAGGGCCAGGCCCGGTGGCCTGCATGCTCCACCCCTGCAGCCGGGCTGGGCAGCAGGACCCCTCCCTGCAGGGTGGGCGCGGTCTGCGCTGTGTGCCCGGCAGTCCACAGGCGTGGCGGGGCCTCCTTGCTTTCCAGGCTGGTCCGTGGCAGTGGAGCCCCCACCCTTCCTGCGACCGGAGCAGGTCTTCTGGGCCTGGTGGGCAATCCCTCTCCTTCCCTGGGCTCCGTCTCCCCGCTGTGCACCTGGGAGCGCCGTGCCCTGCCCACTGTGCCGTGCGGTGGGCACTAGTCTGTGCGGAGGAGATGGGGGGACAGAGGCTTCCACTGCTCCCAGCAAGGATGCTCCCCCTCCCACCGGCCAGGGCCAGCCTCCTGTGTCCTCCCTTCCCACTGGCCAGAGCCAGCCTGTCCCATGAGCGTCCGCGCCAGCCTGGCTCCCACACCCTGGCTCCCTGCCTGGCACTGGCAGCGGCTGGCGGGGAGAGAGCCGCCCTGTGAGCACCCTGCCCACCCACCGGACCCTCTGCTGAAGCTCTCCGGCCGGTGGGGCTGGAGGGCAGCAGAGGGACAGTCCAGCCCAGGGGAGAGAGGGGGCCAGGTTGCCCCTCAGCCTCCTGGGGGACCCTGCTGCCCACCTTACACTGAGAGGGCAGGTGCAGGGCACACAGCGTCTCACCAGCTCAGTAGAAGCTGGGCCATTGGTGCCCTCCGCCAGGTCCCGGAGCGGATCCCCTTCCAGATGTTTACTCCCAGCAGTACGGGTGGGGTGCCATCAGGGTCCCAGCCCTGCATCTGGACCCGTCCAGCCTGGCTGAGCCCAGAACTGGAGGGCCTGGGGTGCAGGTGGTGGGGTGCAGGTGTGAGCCCCGAGGCCTGGGGGCTGACAGCCAGGCCCGAGGGGAACGACCACACGTGTGTGCACACGCTGGGGACTGGGCCAGCTTCCCCTCGGTGGGGCGGGACACGGGGGGAGTGCTCCGGGGTCCCCTCTGCAGCACCGAGCACCGGAGCCCACACCCCTCTGCCTTCCTCCTGATGCTTCCTGCCAATGGCAGCCCTTGGGGTCCCAGGATCCTTGTTACCCCCAAATGCAGCCCTGGTTTCACCGTCTCCAAGACCATAGGGATCCCTGAGGTGGGAGCTTAGACGGGACTAACCCTCAGCCATGCCCTGATGGACGGGCAGCCTCGAGAGCGCGGCTGGAGCCGAGCAGGGTTTGGGGGCCAAATCCCAGCCCTTGGCCTGGGTCAGGCCTTCCAGGAGGCACTGAGGCCCCGACCCCTGGGCCCTGCTCCGGCCCTGGGAGCAGCACTTTGCCTGCATGGCCATCCCCGGAGACAGGGTCCTGCTGGCGTGGCTTTTGCTCCGGCTCCAGCCGTGGGCCCTGAGGCCCGCAGGCCGGGCTCTGCTCGCGGCCGGACGTGCCTGCTGCTGTTCCTGTTTCTGCTCCATTTGCCAAGCCGCTCCGCTGCTGGGGAGAAGCTCTGACCCAGGGCCAGGTGGGCCCTGCTCCCTGGGCTGCCCTGTGTCCACCGGGACCCGAGTGACTGGGGAGGGAGCGTGGTTTATGGGGCAGAAGTCCGTGTGGCTTCAGACAAGGCTGAGCCAGGACGCGGCCTTTAGAGCCGCTGGTGGCGGGTGAGGTGGGGCAGTGGGCAGACACGGAACCCGGGTCAGGGTGGCTGTTGAGAAAAAGCGGATTGGCAGTAACTGGAGAAAGTGGAATCGCACTGGATGGAGGCCACACCGCACTGTCCCCTCCCCCCGGGGGACTGGCCTGGCACCCTCTAGGCGCGTGGCTTGTCTTCTAGGGCGTCCGACAGGCTCTCCATGCCCGGCTCCCATCGGCACAGGAGAACGACAGACAGCCGGATGCCAGGGAGACTCACTGTGCCCCCCCCGCCCCCCCCCACTCGAGCTTGTTTTGGGAGCAGCCTTCTCTCTCCTGGGCAGTGGCACAGGCAGCTCTTTGCACAGACGGCAGCTCTGGGTTCATCTTCTTAAAGAATCGTGGTGTTAGCCATTCATTTTCTCCCCAGTTAGTGCCCTTGAAGTTCCATAAAGACCTGAACTTCTCAACTCCCGCTTCTCAGTAAACAGTGCGAGCCGTGACCTCCCTCTGCTGGCTCCGCCGAAGGGGGCGGGGCTGGTACAGAGGCGGCTCCGGGCAATCACGTCCCCTGCTTCTCTGCCTTCTGCCCAGTGTGCTGGGGGCCGGGGGACCCTGCCACCCCACTTCGCACACCCCACTTTGCCACCCCAGGGCTGGTGAGAGGGCAGTGCACGCTGGGGGCCAAGCCAGACAGCCTGGGCTCTGCCGCCTGCCTGCCTGCTGGTCCCATGGCTGCACCGTGCTCAGAGGGCTCCTGGGTGCCCTGCCGGCTCCCCACTGCGCCACGGCCGGGGCGTGGGAACCGGAGAGGCCCGGCGGCGGCTGCTGTGCAGGAGAGGCCCTGCTGATGGATGGGCTCATACTCCATTCAGATATGATGCCAGCAGTTTTTGTGGTTTGTCTTCCATTGCGGCAGTAAAGTTTTTAATTAGGAAAGCTAATGAGATCGATTAGTCATTAGAAGTGACCTCTGCACGGCGGGGCGGAGGGCTGTGTGTGCGGGCCTGATAACGCGCGCCCGGCCTCGTCGGCAATAAAGGCACGAAGGGTTTGATTTGAGTGAAACGTGCCGCGGGGATGCATCATGCGGAGAAAAAAATTACAGCCCTGGGAGTCCGTAATGAAGGGAATTAAACCAACATCCTATCTAAATAACATGATTATCTACACAGACCCTCAGCCGGCCGCGGGCGGGAGAGAG